TCTAGGAGATAATTCTGCAACTATAACGCATATCAGGGAAATGTGTTGCCATATACAACTGCCTTCCTATTTGTTGAAGTATGCTTTCATAATGAAAGTATGCATAGGTTCTCAAATGGAATATGTTTATTCTTGTGTTGCTGTGCTAGAGAAGTATCAATTTACGGCAATGCTACAAAGTACACACTCTTCAGGCACACACAGTGTACCCCATTCTTGAAAAAAAAAAAAAAACAGGAATTTAAATGTATTTTATGTGTACTTTTTGATTGAAAATAATCATTTCAAAACACAACATTTTGCAAATTTCTATTAATTATTTATGAAAATGTTTTGATTACAGTTTAAAACCCATCTAGCATGAACACATATAATACATAAATATAGAATTAAATGACGCTATCCCATGCTATTCTTCTAATTCTTATATATAAGTAGGTAAATGCGTTCTTCATAAAATTTAGTTTTTTCTTAGATCTTAAGTCATTTTGCTTATTGTTCAATATAATAACAGTAACTATTCTAAAATCTAAATCCCTGTTGTGAATTTGCCACCAAAACTTAGTTAGTACTAGACCTTGACTTTTTTTATACTTTTTTATAATCCTAAGTGGCTGAACATATGTTACATGTTTTTTTTTATGTTTTAAAAATAATTTTGGGGGCAGAGTGCTCCCAAGTTAGGACGGACTTCAATAAAGGGCCCTTCATACTAAGGTCATTTTGTTTGCAAATCAAGTATCCTAGCCTAAAAGTAACACAACACCAAAAATGATCAGATGTGAATTGAGCATAACTAAACAATACACACTCCATGTCTATAGAAAAAAATAACCCAAGAACCTAGAACCCAAGAAAAAAATGACAACAGCCCTTGAACTTTGAGGCTAAATTAGACAGGTTCCCTATCAAACATCACATGAGTTCACACCACTAATGAGTCTTTTTTATGTCCAGTCACAGTTAGAACTTTGTGGTGATTATAGGCTTTTGAGTTGTATTATATGGCACATTTACCATTTCTGTTTGAGGGTTGTAAAAATATTAATTACCCAACAGCATGATATTTGATCTTCAGACACTCAAAGGGTTGCGATGTCTCAATTCTCTACTTTTGTATTTGCACAAAAATAATTTCAACCTACTGTAATCTTATTGCAAATCACCTCAATAGTTGAATTTGTGTATTAACACCTAATCACTTTCATTTACATGGAAAACATTGTGGTTGCAAAGTATTCTTTAATTTTTTACAGTATTTCTGTAAAAAAGTAGTGCAGCTTTTTTTGTTAAGGATGTACACCCTTCTGACGATTACATAAAGTTAAATAATGAGGGGTAAACATAATTCATTGTGCTCTGTTAGTTTTGTTTTGTTAATATTATTGAGTCTGACAATGTATTTGCCAAGGTCACAAATATACTTTATTACAGACTTTAGAATAAATAGTGAAATTTGAAAGCAAAGAATGTATTATCCAGGAAGCACTGCATGTGATGTAAAATGTATTGCATATTTCTTAGTTAACATGTGAAAAGAAAAAAAGAGGCTAAGCGGAGCACTTTATCTGTATAAGATACTAGAAATATTTATTTTGGTATATTTATCTGAAGAAACAGAACATTTTTCATTGAATCTGGTTCTTCCATTGAGGTATGTAGTGTGTATAATACATGTATTAATGGTAAGCAATAATCCTGTATAATAGTAGCATACACTAATTGATTTACAGTGTGTCAAATTATTTAATATTCTAAACATAGAGATACCATTCTCTTCAGTTACAGATACAAGTTCAATATTGATATCCCTTTGCAGCCTTTAATTAATAAGGGAAGTGGTAAAGAAATGGTCCATTGGCCTCATGCAAATCTAATCCATTTGCAGATGGATAGTGGTCTGCCTGAATAAAGGATGTCATATTACATCTTTGATTTTTTTAGTTTTTGGTCTTATTAAAACATTTTCACAGTGCTATTTATGGTAAAAGTAGTGCCATATATGTATAAGTATACAGTACAATTATAAATATATTTATACTACTGTATAACATTTTTATACATTAAATCTTTTTTCTTTTGTACATATTTATTTTATCAGTCTTTGTTTCGTGTAATCCCTGCTTCCCCAAAAGGAATATTTCCAGTGTTTCTAATGAGAGTAGATGTGTAAATTTTGAACTTCTCCACGTTAACAGTATTTAAATTAGCAATTGTATAAAAAAAAAAAAAATGCATTATAATTGTTTTATTATCATTATTATTTTTTACACACCAATAAATGTATTATACATCCATGGCAGTGTTTTTTTTTTTTTTTATGTGGGGTATTATAGTCATAGAACCAGGGCTTGCTCTGTTAAACGATGATAGATAAATAGATAGATAGATAGATCAAAACAAATTAAGGATTGTGCTATAGAACACCTTAACTTTAAGAAATGTATTTCATTGTCTAAAATATGCATTTGTGATACATAATTAATTGAACATGCCATTCCTTAAATATGCTAACAATTTATTTTATCATCTTTTTGATGGATTATTGCATATATGGCATATGTTCTATTGATTGCATTGTTATGGCTTAAATATGTGCATAAGATTCTGTGTTTTTATGATGTGAATTTCAATGTAGTGTGACAAGCTTGCCCCTGCTCTTAGCTAGGAAAAGGGATTGGATCAACAGCAAAAAACAAATGTGAGGTAGGCTGAACTTGATGGACGCAAGTCTCTTTTCAGCTATGTAACTATCTAACTATGTAACTATGGGTTAATATTGAATTGCAGTCTATACCCAAAAAGTGTAAATAAACTATATCCACATATTTCAGGAATGTCAATAACAGCAATGTTAAAGATCACACAGCTTAAAAAATTTAAGTGTTTTAAATGTTAAATGTTTTCATTGTAACCGAACTTTAGTTAGCACTTAATAAGCAGCAGAGGTTAGAATTAATGGTGCATTTTAGGAACATACCATTTCAGTATAATATTTCAGTACTTGCTAAGTAGTAAAGAGGATACCTCTCCTTTACCAACAAGAGAACAAAAGGCAAGAGTTGAGTTTTTATAACAGGAATTCTGGTCCTGGCTTATTTGAGTAATATAATTAAGTTCTAGTCTATCAGTGTTATTCACAATAGTGAGAGTTGTCAGGAATTCACAAAGAGAATTTCAAATTAAAGGCAAAAATAGGCTCAATAAAAACAGAATTTCAGAATTTACTGGGGGCAAGTTTTCTGTTATTTTGGTCTAAATTCCCTTTGAATTCACATCAATTGTCCCTTTGATTAATAGCCCTGTGTCTTATGGTCTCCTCTACTGGACATGTGCATTTGTTATCAGACAAATATGATTTTGTCAGAATATTCGGACATTTTCGTATATTTGTTTACTATAACATTAATGCAAGTCCTACATATAAATTAAAAGACAGTTTTAAAAGACAGCGAGCAGCCAGCGGATTTAACCTCCCTTTTATTAATATGGGGGTCATAGTGACCCCCCATAGGTTTTAAAGGACCACTCTAGGCACCCAGACCACTTCAGCTTAATGAAGTGGTCTGGGTGCCAGGTCCAGCTAGGGTTAACCCATTTTTTCATAAACATAGCAGTTTCAGAGAAACTGCTATGTTTATGAATGGGTTAAGCCTTCCCCCTAATCCTCTAGTGGATGTCTCATTGACAGCCACTAGAGGCGCTTGCGTGCTTCTCACTGTGATTTTCACAGTGAGAGCACGCCAGCGTCCATAGGAAAGCATTATGAATGCTTTCCTATGTGACCGGCTGAATGCGCGCGCAGCTCAGTCCAGGAGGAGGAACGGAGGAGGATCTGAGGAGGAGAGCTCTCCGCCCAGCACTGGAAAAAGGTAAGTTTTACCCCCTTTCCAGAGCCGGGCGGGAGGGGGACCCTGAGGGTGGGGGCACCCTCAGGGCACTATAGTGCCAGGAAAACGAGTAAGTTTTCCTGGCACTATAGTGGTCCTTTAATGCAGGGGGGTAGTAATTGTTAATATTTATTACAAGGAGGGAGTTGGTAGCGCTGCCGACTCCCTACTTGTTTTTTTTTTGCGCATGCGCCGTGTTTTTTTCATCCTAAAGGGCGAAAACTTAATTTTTTTTACAGAATTTCATCCTAAAAAAATTATGTTTTACGGACATAATTCGTAATGGACGAATTAAATCTTTAATTTTGTACGAATTCATTATTATGAAATGAAAATTTAACTAGTGCACATGTCTATCCTCTACTTAACTGCTATTAGGAGCATAAGTGTTTTACCTAAATTTTATAAACCTTACCATCTTTCAATCCAAAAGCAAGTGAAGATTATAGAGTCACATCTCATCTACTGATATTGTTTTGAATTAATTAACTTTTTCCATTTTGCATTATATGATATAGGATAGGATGCCATATAATCTGCAACTGCATGATCCATATCCAGATTTGTAGATGGATGAGTACAATATAACAACTGGTGTGAATAAATTAATGGACTGTTTTTGTTTAGAAATATATAACCCAAAACATTGTTTTTTAATCAGGTGTCAGATTAAAGTACATGGTGGATAGCTTTATGTAAACTTTAGTTTGTATGGAGCTTAGTACATTATCAGCAAAAATATATATCATTTTTTCATCTTTATTGCATTCAAGAAACCTTTCTGTGTATAACAACACAAAAAGGGCATTACTGCTTAATATTTTCAAAATTAATCAAAGGAATTGTATAAAGCACTGACTGAAACTTCTAGTCATATTTAAGTAAAAAAATATTTAAATAAATTATAAAGATAAACCTATGGAAAATTTGATTGCACCCATGTGCATGGATTCATGTTTTTTTTTTTATTTTTTTTTATTTCTATACAGGTAAAAGGAGTTCATTTTAAAGATATATATATATATATATATATATATATATATATATAGCTTTTAGAAAAGAGTCAGCACTCAAGGACTTTCAAAGAATGATAGGAGTTGCACTCCAGCTCTCCTTATTTATTGCCCGGTGCTCGGCTGCACAAATGTATAGCTTTTAGAAAAGAGTCAGCACTCAAGGACTTTCAATGTGCTAAAAAATGCAAAAAACCTTTTAATCCAGTTGTTCAAAGAGGTCAACGTTTCAGTCCATCGTCGTGGACTTTCATCAGGACATGTCCTGATGAAAGTCCACGACGATGGACTGAAACGTTGACCTCTTTGAACAACTGGATTAAAAGGTTTTTTGCATTTTTTAGCACATTGAAAGTCCTTGAGTGCTGACTCTTTTCTAAAAGCTATACATTTGTGCAGCCGAGCACCGGGCAATAAATAAGGAGAGCTGGAGTGCAACTCCTATCATTCTTTGTATATATATATATATATATATATATATCCATCGGTTAATGACACTGGAAGGTATGGACAATAATAATGCCTATCTCCCATTGGTACTTAACCTTTTAGCAAGGTATGATATATACAATTTGGAATCCCTGGCACCTTTATGACTAGTTCCACTGCTCATGCCACAACAAAGAAGATGAAGCAGGAGTGGGAGAAGCCAAAGGAGTGAACTATCCATATAGATTGTCTTTCACCACCAACACTTATTCCTGATTTTTTATGGACCCAGGGTTCCTTATGCTTTACAATAAGCTCCCATCATACAGCACACAAGAAGGGGGAGGAACCTGTTGTTTTTCCACTTCCCCCCAACAGTTAAGTTGGGGGGTTGAAAAGGTAGCTTTGTAGCTGACTTTCGGTTTAACTATCAACAATTTACATTTGAATCTCCTGTCACATTTCATTAGGCATCAAACAAAAAGTCAGCACCTACAGGCTATCAAGGTATGTTCAAAATGTCATAAGATACCTTATTTCAATTTAGATTTATTTGCCACATTTCAAGTTATAAATATTATGACTAACAATTTGCTTCAAGTAATCATCTTGAGCCTACCTAAGACCCACAATTGTTAACTAATTTCCCAATATATATCTCCCAAATGGTTTAAGAGTTTCATAGCTTGATTCATAGAGTACATACTTGAGAACTTTCTTTAACCTTCTTAAAAATTCTCCCATCACTTCTTCATTTTTTTTTTTACTTCATCCATTACCTTTTACCTGTCTCTGTCCCTGTCTACTTACATATACAGGCATACTGACATATATTCATTGTTTGCTTGTTTTCCAATTTGCATTAGCAATGATAAAAGCACAACACATCTTTGTGCTACTGTTTTGTATGTTTAGGGAGTTTAAGTTATTTGCTCTATCCTTTATCTATTGTTACATAGTTTGACAACAATATAAAAAATATATATTGTAAATGTTGTCAAGCATCTGTTTTGAGATCTCTGCATAATCATCAATGTACAGTAGAACAATTATTTAATATAATGATATGTTTTATTTAATTAACCAGAAGCCATTAAATTGCTTTATTAGTAAATAACCATTTAATCCTTTGAGGGCAATTTAAGTGAGCAAACCATGTAAATACATTGTATTGCTTAAAACTCACGAAATTAAAGGTCTTCTAATCAAGTCACTTAATTGAATGTTCTGTTGATACGATTTTTATAGATAAATCTGTTGTTAAAAGAGCTTTAGGAATTGTTAGGAATGGAATATTTGTTTCCCTAAAAAAGTATTTTATTTTCACTTTTTTGCAGGGTGCGTGATATTTTTTTCATAATATTAAACTACTTTAAATTGCCACATTAAAATTTTACATGCTATTTTAAATCTTCAAACATACTTATACAGCAATTGTGTTATATAGTTGTAAAATGGCATGAATAATTGATGATTTTTTTAAATTGTACTTAAAAAGGCACACAGAGTTCTTGATGGAATTTATTTTTACAAATATAATTATTCAAAATAAGAGAATGGAAATATTCTGTTATTTGTGACCTTGTTAAAAACAAATTAGAACAAAGTTATCACCTGTGAAAATTCTTTATTGTATCATTTTGCTTGCTTTTTAAATTAATTGCATAATATTATCTTTTTTTTTGTATTTCATATTAAAAGTTAATTTAAATATAATGCAATGTTGTTGTTTATTTCCCAAATGTATTCTTAATTTCTGAGTCAATAAATGCAAATCAAATATTTGGTTATATTCACATATTTGGCAAACTTTGTGAAAATACTTGCAATATTAAAGGTTAAAAATACTGTGTTAAAGTTCCACAATATTTTACTAATTTAGAATTTTCTCACGAGAGCAGTATGAATAAATTAGAAGCTCAGTTAATCTGATAAATCCTAGCTGTACTGAACATAAAATAATATAAAAAACGAATAAAAGAATGAGAAATTATATAATACACACCGGGAAACTGTTGCTTTACAGGATTTTTAATAATGTGTTTATTTAGTAAAAGTTATAAAAATATATATTTTATATTTAAAAGGACGTTGTAGGCACTATAACCATTCAATTTAATTGGAAAGTACTGGAGTTCCTTAGCACCATCCATCTATTCAATATGAAACCTTTTTGAAGGATTTGACACTGAATGGAGATATCTGGTCACACTCAGCCCAGTCCACAATGGAGGTATGGCTAAGGCAGAGATCGGACTCTTCCTTAACCATACCACTTCATACAATCAGTTTTAATAGGCTTAGTGTGGTCAGCTGACACTCACTGCCAATCACCACCGCCCATTGCTGCTCAGGATGATTCCCCCTCTTTAGCCTGCACAGCAGAGGGAGGCCAGGCTGCTGGAGACACAAGTTAATGGTCTGAGTCTCAGGAGGTTAAAGCTGAATGGAAGTACAGGCACTATAGCCACTGTGATGAAGCGATGACAGATTTTAGATTTTACCAATTAACAAATATGTGTTTGTGATGTCTTAAAAATAAAATAAAGAAATACAAATCCACATTGCTCTTTGAGACTGAATACTCTCAGTTTTGTGACATTCATCATTTTAAGCTCTGACGTTTTCTGTCATTGAACAATGTTTTTGTTTGATTCCACTTCCAACATAGGCCTTGATTGTATATTTTTGGTTAAGGTTTTCAAATGATTTTATATCCTTGGATAAACTGTTAAAAGTATTTAATATTTGGAAATATTTTTTTATATACTGATATATATTTTTATGTTGTGGTTGTCTGACATTAATATTTGTTGCACAGTGTATTTCCTTTACAGGAATTAAGCACAATTTGTTTTCCATTAATTGCACCAGTTATGGGATTCATGTGGATGATGACTCTCTTAGTTGGTGTTGAATCAGTCTGAATCCCACTTCTTACTCTGGTGTTCAGATGACTCATTTCTATAAATGGAGGCTACCAGGGACATGACACAAAGCTTTGCTGCAGGATAATTATGGTAAAATTACAGTTGCTGATATTATATGCATGATTTAAAGGGCAACTGTTACTTTTATGGAGTTTATGCCATTTAATAAAACATTGAAAATCACCTGTAATTTGTGTTAAGGTTTTTATGTGATAATCCATTTAAAAAAAATGTTTTTATTAAATTATTTAAGATTTAGTTGATGGCATCATAATCTATTCAGACAAGGCAAAGTCAAGGAAAATATTGCAAATAAGAAGGACAAACAGAATCAGTGTTCTCCTTTTATCTATGCTTTTTCTCTGCTGCTTGTAAAGTTCAATGGACAGAGAACATGAGCAATGATTTGCAAGGAGATAAAAACGGAGGCACCCAGCTACAGGAAAAGTGGATTGTTACATTTAAATATATTTTTTCACACCATACAAATATACATTTACTAAATATAGGTATAAGTTAGCATAATGTTAAAAATTATACTAACTTATACCTATATTTAGTAGATGTGTATATGTATGGGGACTGTTCATCTTTAAGAACATATTAAGATTTTCATTTGTCCATAGAGAATGTCTGATTGCTTTTATTTATATCATAATGCCTTACTGTAATGGTAAAGCGAACAAGATCAGTTGACGTGCAACTGAAGAAACAGGTTCAGGTATTAATTTTTAAACTATATCAAAGACAAAATATACTAAATACTAAATATACTAATGACAAACATGTATTCCTGACCCTATAGTGTTAAAATAACTATTTAGCCCCCCCCCCCCACAGCCCCATCTTGTACCCTTTCAATAGAGTAATAACTCACCTTATTTCTAGTGCCGCATGGGACCACCGCCTTTTCTTCACAACATAAGAATTGATGATCTCAGCCAATCATAATGCTTTTGCCATCCTGACCAATCAGCATCTTCTCAGAGATGCATTGAATCATTGCATCACTATGGAGAAAGTTCAGCGTCTACATGAAGACATTGAACGGCAGTGCTGCACATTGTGCAGCATTGACCCAGGAAGCACCTCTAGTGTCTGTCTAAGGAGTGGCCACTAGAAGTGTTCCTAGGTTGTAATGTAAATACTGCCTTTTTTTCTGAAAAGGTAGTGTTAACATTGAAGAGCCGGCAGGGACTGACTATATTCACCATGTTACGGTACCTCCAGTAATAAAATGTACTCCATCCATTTCCAGCAATAACGCAATAATATCCCTCTTCCTGAGGTTACTGGCTTGTCCGCCTCTTTGCTCTAATAAATCCTTTAGGGTAGCTCTTCTCAGGTTCTGGTATTGTAGTTCCATTTAATCCTGGTTGTAGTGGTTTCTTTGGGCGCTGAGGATCATCCCGTCGCTTGCCACCAGTTGTTACGGTACCTCCAGTAATAAAATGTACAAACCGCCGTTTAGCGAGTATTCCCCGTTCGCAATAATGTGGTCTGGTAGCGGGTATAATAAAACCATGCGAACCGCCAGCCAGGGAACACTCCAAACTCCCGAACGGTACCTGTACGGCTAATTCCCTTCACAAGCTTCAAATCCACGAACGGCAAATAGTAACCGAACGTCAATATCTCCCAAGCGGCAAATACTCCAAATCAGTAGTCTCTAGTCGCTGGTAACCAAATCCCCCCAATAACGAGACCAAGCTCCGCTTTGAGGGTAAAACACGAACTCATTTACTGTGGGCTACCTGCCCGCTATTTATGCAGGTCTCCCACCTGGTGGACACTCCCCTAGGGGACCAAATGGGAGACTGAAATTACAGAAAGACATGGGGACATTTTGGACACACATCCCCACAATATTCCCAGCATGCAGTACAGTTCCCTCCCCTCTGCTCGGGGGATAATTGTGAAGTAATTCAATTATCTCCCCGAGCAGAGGCAATCGCCATTTTAAATACAAGTCACAAAAACACATGAAAATCTATAACTTCATAACTGCCGAACATATTGCGTTCATATTACATATCCCCAGATAGCCTGGATCTGAGTGCATATTATTGGCGAATAGCGCTCAGATCCCATTCGCACAGTTCAATCGCCATGGAGTCAAAGTCTATTTCAGTTCTTCGGTATGCGATTGACTCCATGGGGCGGCTATCTGGGTTAAGTCCATTCGTGTGGTTGAATCTCCTGAACGACTGGCATTCGTATACTTTTGTCGATTGAGAAGGGGAGGTCGACGGCTTCAGCGGTGTTCGGCTGAAAAAGTGTCCGTTTTCAGATCCATGAAATAGTCGTCGAACACCGCTGGTCTTTCGCATGGATAAAATGGCCGCCGCCTCGTGGTCGACATACGAACGACGACCACCCGGCATTCGGTTTTAATTGAGAAGTGTCTGTGGTTAACCGCAACGTTCTAATTGGGATCAATAGGTTAACCAGCAGCACACTTCTCTTCTGGGTGGCCGTCCGTTCGGTAGTTCCGTTCGACAAAACCGACATTCCCTTGAATAAAGCATACGAATGGGGAAATTCATGTAACCGGCAAAACAGGCGAACAAAGCATTTGTAATCCAGACAGATGGGTCTGTCACACGGCTCCCCCCTTGTGGAACACTCCGGCAGACCCGGCTTGACCCTTTGGCGGGTCAACTTGGGGATGACCGGACTGGGAAGAAGTAGGGACGTCTGTTTGCCGGGACAACCCATCCGCATTCCCATTCTGCTTACCGGGTCGGTAGCTGATGGTGAAGTTGTAAGGCTGTAGTGCCAAACTCCACCTCAGCAGTCTGCCATTGTCTCCTGAGACCCGGTTAAGCCAGACAAGGGGGTTATGGTCCGTTATAAGGGAAAATTCTTGTCCGTATAAATAAGGGCTCAATTTCTTCAGTGCCCAGACCAGGGCTAAACACTCTTTCTCCACTGCCGCATAACTTACTTCCCGGGGTAGTAACTTTCTGCTTAAGTATGCGACAGGGTGCTCTATTCCATCTTCCCCAACCTGGCTTAGCACAGCCCCCAGTCCATACATGGAAGCATCTGTATGAACAAGAAAACGTTTGTTAGGGACGGGGGCCGCCAGGACAGGAGCATTAACAAGAGCCTGCTTAAGTGCTTGAAATGCGGCTTCACAAGCTGGAGACCACAGGACCTGCTTAGGTAAATTCTTCTTAGTCAGGTCAGTCAAGGGCTTAGCAACCGTACTGTAGTAAGGGACAAAACATCGGTAATACACTGCCGTCCCCAAGAAGGCCAGCACTTGGGTCTTAGTGATAGGTGTGGGCCAGTTAGCCACAGCCTCTACCTTGGCTGGCTCCGGTCTCTGGCTTCCACATCCTACTCTGTGACCCAAGTACTGTACTTCTGCCATGCCTAGATGGCACTTGTCTGGCTTCAAGGTCAGGCCTGCGGCCCGAATCTTGTCCAGCACCACCCCCACGTGTACTAAGTGGTCTTCCCAGGTCTCACTGTAGACCGCAATGTCATCCAGGTATGCACGTGCAAAATCCTGAAAGCCATCAAGGAGCCTATCCACCATACGCTGGAAGGTAGCCGGAGCATTCTTCATCCCAAATGGCATGACCTTAAACTGGTACAGGCCAAATGGGGTGACGAACGCCGACTTAGGGATAGCATCCTCGGCCAGGGGAATCTGCCAATAACCTTTACACAGATCAATGGTGGTCAGGTAGCGCCCCCTGGCAATACGGTCTAATAATTCGTCTACCCGGGGCATAGGGTAGGCGTCAGTGTTGGTCCGTTCGTTGAGCCACCTGTAGTCCACGCAGAACCTGGTGGTCCCATCTTTCTTAGGCACCAGAACTACAGGCGAGGCCCAAGGGCTGTCTGAATGTTCGATAACCCCCAGCCTGGTCATCTCCTGTATTTCCTTCCGCATTCCTTCTCGGACTGCTTCAGGGATACGGTATGGGGGTTGTCGTAGGGGGTTCTGTCCGGGTGTCTCGACCTTGTGTACAGCTAGGGTAGTGTACCCGGGTTCTTGGGAGAACGTTGCCTGCTTCTCCCACAGTAACTGTCTCGCCTGTACCTTCTCTGCCGGGTTTAGCCGGTCCCCTAGCTGTACAAGACTAGTAAGGTCTGTCTGGGGGTCCCTCTCTAGTAAGTCAGGTAACGGTAAGTTCTCGGGGTCATCAGTAGCTGGGGCACATACTGCCGCAACATCCTCTGGTCGTTCTTGATACTCCTTCAGCATGTTCACATGGAAGGATCGCTGAATCCTTTCATCTGAACAGCTGGCTATAAGGTAGGTAGTATCACATACCTGAGCTAACACTTTATACGGGCCCTGCCAAGATGCTTGCATCTTGTTCGTCTTCACAGGCTTGAGTACCAGAACCTTCTGTCCAACCTGGAAGACCCGCTGTCGGGCACCCCGATCGTACCACTGTTTCTGTCTCCCCTGGGCCGCCTGGAGATTCTTCCTGACCATCAGGGATAGTTTCTCCAGTGGTCCCGGAGTTCCAGGACATATGGTACTATGGGGGTCCCTTCTTGCTCTGTCTC